TCATTTTTTCTGAAAAGGCGGTGTCTATTTACTTGTGACCACGCTGTGTATATAGTCATTAGAAAGAGCTTATTTTACACTATAATTTAACATTGATTATTTTGAAATTGGCACACAGTTGTCATCACGGAGTACATGTAACTGACTGTAGTATTATTGGCTGGTTGATCAACTACAGCACTTACAGTTGATTCTTACCTAAATATGTTGTAGTTAGAGATGCAGTTTAAATTGTATTCAGGACTTACTTTTATATTTTAACTGTGTTATTTATGTTTTAAAATATATCCTTGAAAAGTTTAAACATTTTAAAACATACATCATACTTTACGTCAGTACGATATTATGCGCTGCATGAAAATTTTGCTGAAGTGTTTGAATGCAAGTAACTACGATAGAAAAATAACATATTTGTAGTCAAAACGATTATAATAATGTCATTCTTTATGTACAAAATATTTATGATCTTTAACAAAATCTTACCTTGTTTTGAGAGAATATGCTAAGTTATCGCACGTATTGTTGTACAAATGAAATTCACAACTCGATTTCTGCAAATTGGCTAATGTTAAAGGGTTAAGAGAAGAAAAGAGATTAACAACTGTACGCATCATGCAATGACAGCTATCTAGACTATGAAAAAGATGACTCTTTTCCAAAAATTCTCAGACACTAGTAATAAGGTGAGTGACACTGATGACCTTATTGTCATGCGATGTTTAATGGCAGGTTAAGTAGAAGGAGACACCCCCAGGGAGACATATCTAGGTCCTCATAGCGATGTTACTACATGGTGCAGCTACAATGGATGGCATGTACTAGAACTATGTACTGAGCATGGTTTATATGTCATGAGCACCTTTCACCAACATCATCCAACTCTGATATACACATGGTACAAATAAAACACTTTCACTCAAGCTTCACAGATAGATTATATTTTGACAAGACTGTCCCAGAGAAGGCATGTCAGGTACACAAAAACATGAATATAGATACTGACAGTTGTCCATTCATCATGGTCCTAAACAAGACACCAAAGTGACAAAATCTTACACCAAGTCACAAAGAAATAATCAACTTGAGGAACTTAATGAAGAAGTGAAACAAGAGATGATAGAAGCATTCGAAGTGTTCCAAGAAAAGACTCGGAGTACCGAGGAAGCATGACAACATTTTATGAATACCATCCTAAATACTTTAAGAAACAAATATAGAATTTTTTTTAAAATTGGATGTAGTAGGAAGAGAGGAACAGCATTGTGGGATGGAAAAGTCAGAGAAGCAAAAAAGGAAAAGAAGAAACTTTGTGAAGTGTGGTTAATATAGAAGGAAATTGAGGATTATGTAAAATATAGAATAGCAAGAGGAAAGGTCAAATGAGTATAGAAGAAGACTAAGTAGGAGTCTTGGAAGAAGTATGGGGAAAATTTGAGTGACCTATGTAAAGATTCTCCCAGGGAATTTTACAAGTGTGTTAAAGTCAAGTGCTTGAGGTATGAGAGTTTTAACCCATCATCAATGACAGAAAATGTTAAACTTCTGTATAATGAAAACAAAGTCAAAGCGAGATGGGAAAAATACTTTCAAAAACCCTTAAACGTAACAGGGATAGAGAACACATTAACTCTGTTCAATATTAATCAGAGAGAACACAACAAGCCATCAATACTAGAGCAGGAAGTACGACAGGCAATAAAAACCAGCCCCAAGAACAAAGCTGCAGGAATCAATGGAATAAGATCAAAAGCAATAAGAACATGCGATGAGATAGGAGTCAGGTGGTTGCAGGGATATTTAATAAAGCATGGAAAGAGAAAAAAGTTCCAGAAGACTGGCAAAGAGTTGTGGTTGTACCAATCTTGGAAAAAGTAGTAAGAAAGACTGCAGCACTTACAGAAGCATTTCCCTCCTTAGTCATGTGGACAGGATTTTCAGGAAAATCCTAAAAGAACAGACAAGATACAAGGTTGAACCATTCTTAAGTGAGGCACAGTTTGGTTTTAGGAAAGGCAGAGGTTGCATCGATGCAATATTTGCAACAACAATTGAATACTGATCAAATTAACAAAAATAAGTACTCAAAGATTATGAGGTGCAAAGCCAGCTCTTGGACAGTATAAGAGCAATGTATCCAGATAGTAAAAGCACTGTGAGAATGGCCTTACTAATTGGTTCCAAGTCTTCTCTGGAGAGAGGTAAGGCTGTGTCATTTATATGGACCAGATCACCAAAGAAGAAAATCCAAAAGCCTCAAATGAAGTACTTTTGCTGATGACCAAAGTTTGATACACCCAAGTGAAGAAGAGCTACAAAACCATGCAAGAAATTGCCTAGATAAGTCTCCTTAAGAGAGCACTAAAAAGAAGGTGTGACACTTTATGGCAGGAGCTCCATAGGGGTACCCCCCATAGGAGACTGCATCTCATCTAAATCAGGGTAATCAAAGATCTTGCACATAAGCCATCAAAAGGCCAATATGTGTAGTGAGGTTGGAGCTCACTCAGACTGTACCAACAGCAGCTGCTAAAAGTATAATACGAAAATCAGCACAGAAAAATAGAATAATATTAATAATACCAGGTTACAACAGGTCAATGATTAAAAATACCTTGAAGGACTGAAAAATAGATATAGAAATGAAAACATGAACTATGTAAACTACCAATTAACATCATTACTTAAGCACACAAATATCTTGATGAAAATAATATGGAAGTTAAAAAAACACCATATTTGTACCAACACTATGTTACCAATGTCAGATCTGGACTCTTGATAAAAATTAAGAATGAAAAATCATCACTTGAAAGATGAGATGCTTACAGAAAGCTGCTAACATAACTAGAAGAGACATCATAAAAAATGTAAAGGTAAGAGAACTAATTACAATAGCTTCAATCAGAGAATACATTGAAAAGCAAGGAATTAAGTGATTTGGCCACATAGTGAAAACACAGCTGAACCAACCAGCTGCACAAGCATATAATATGAAAATAACAGGGTTCAGAGCAAGAGGGCAACTCAGGAAGAGATGGAACAATGGTGTGACTGAATAAACACAGATTTACTCTGACCCAGGCCTTTCAACTTACTTTAGAATAGCAACTGTATTTCTCTGCAATACTTAATGACACATGCAAAAGAAAAAGCTAAAGTAAGTATTTAAATCTAAAGAAATCTCAAACAAACTTGTATAATAAAGATTTCACCTGTATCATATCATAACACCCCTTCCAAATCTAAAGACATCCCTAACAGAAACTAATATAACAAAGAATTCACCTATATCATATAACGATAGCCCACTTAAATATAAAGAATTCCCTAATATAAACTAATATAACAAAAGTTACCTGTAGGACGTTATCACAGCCCATCCAACTCTAAAGAAATCCCTAATATAACAAAAGTTTCACCTACATTATGCAATGATAGCCCAGTTAAATCTAAAGAAATCCCTGATATTAACTAATGTATCTAATGGTTCATGATCATAGCCCACCCAAATCTAGAGAAATCTGTAATATAAGCTAATGTAATAAAGATTTCACCTATATCAGAAGCCCACCCAAATCTAGAGAAATCTGTAATATAAAGCTAATAGTAATAAAGATTTCACCTATATCAGAAGCCCACCCAAA